AGGAGGGTAAATCTCAGCTCTCCCACTCCACTTTGGCTGGAAGCAGAAGTCCTCAAAGTACCCTTTCTGATACCCAAAATATCCCACTTTTGGCTAACGGGAGATTATTCAAACCATCTCCTGAGTCTTTTCAACACAATTTCAGTGGTCTTAGACAACTCCCTTGCTTTATGTTATAAAACAAAAATTATGTGTTCATCTTTTTTTCCTTTTTTTCTCTTCTTTTTTTTTCCTCAATATTTCCTTTCTTTTCTTTTCTTTTTTTTAGTGAGGAAGATGGGCCCTGAGCTAACATCTGCTGCCAGTCTTCCTCTTTTTTCTTTCTTTCTCCCCAAAGCCCCAATACATAGTTGTATATCCTAGCTGTAAGTCATTCTAGTTCTTCTATGTGGGATGCCACCACAGCATGGCCTCATGAGTGGTACTATATCCACTCCCAGGATCCAAACCAGCAAACGCCAGGCTGCAGAAGTGGAGCACACAAACTTAACCACGCGGCCACGGGGCCGGCCCCTATGTGTTCAAGCTGAATATTCCCTATCTTTAACTGAGAATCAGTTATTTTTCCCAGGAGCATTGTTTTTTCAAGAGAAAAATTCTAATGACCACAATCTCAGAGTGCCAGGAGTACAGACTGCTACAAGGTATTTCACTATTTCTAGGCCTTTTTAGGACAGAGTTGGGTGTGTATGCATGTGTGTATATATGTGTGTGTTTAAAGAAAATACATCATGAATCCCTAGTGATATTAACAATTCAAATTTATGTAATTCTTTGATTTCATATTTCTCTATTTCCTTAAGCTAAAAGATCCAGGTTCCTAATACTAACATAAACACTTATTTGCTGTATTCATATACAAATACATACAGTTTCAGAATATCTATCAATCCTATATGACAACTAAAAGGAGCTGAAGATTTGTTTACACTTTTTTGTCCTTAAGATATATCCCAAAAGGGATTATTAACCATATTGCCATATTTTAAATGGTATTAAAATAATTCCTCTCTGTGTGGTTTAGCCACAAGCATGACACAAAGTCAGGGCCATTTAATTCCTTTTGTTTATTTTTAAAAATTTCTTCCCTCGTTCTGATTTAATTTTGTTTTACAATTATTTAAAACATTACATGACTCCAAAATAAAACCTAATCACTAAAATTATACCTGTTGCTAAAGCAAAATTTATATCCACAGGCAGTGTCTTTAATGTGGTATGGCAGGATGCTGTTAGTGATCTTTAATTACTATAGATGATGAAAAATACAATTACTGATGAACAAGTGGAATTTGAAATTAAAAAAACAATACCATTTACATCACAAGGATCAGGACAAGGAGAGGAGAAATTCCCAGCAAAAGGAAGTCCGAACAACTACAGCTATAAAGCCCGTCCATTGGATAAATAATACCAACAGGAGAAAGAGGACAAAAAACGTAGGGTAGAAGTCTCCAGAGGAAAAAAATGGAACTGATAAATTATCTGAGAAGTTTAACCAATTAGAAAATCAGACAAAATAATTTAGAAGAGCTATAGGAGAGAAGAAGACAGCCAGGAATTCAAAGAAAGCCAAATAGGTAAAAAATAAGACAATTAGCTCCAGGAAAAACAAAGTATAAGAAAGGAAACGTAACCACAGTATACTATTCAGCTCCAGCAATGAATAATATTTACACATTACAATATAACTACACTATGAGGATGGATATAAGGGAAAGAGTGGTATAAGAGCTTAAATCTTCCCCTACACTGCTGGTTTGGTTTCAAGTATTTCAGCACTACAGTTATGCATCACTTTAACAACTGAAAAAGTTCTGAAAAATGTCATTAGGCGATTTTGTCATTGCGCAAACATGACAGAGTGTACTGAAGGGAAACAAAATTTGTCACCCCAAAATGTGTGTCTTTAAGTTGAGGATAATTCTAGGCTGATTATTTTTAAGAAACAAAGACTCAGAAAGTTTTTCCTGCTACCTCCCCCTAACTGCCTAAAAGAATTCAGATAAAAGATCTGTCTCAGGAAGCAAGCTATCACCTTAGCATTACATGAACTAGGTGGTAGACAGGGAGGAACGTAGAAAAGCCTGTTTGTTGGGCTCCCCTTTGTGTTCTTCTGTTTCTGTGTGGCCAAACACTTGCTTTCCCAATGTTTGCTCCTTTTCGCCTACCTGTGAACTGCCTTCCTTTCCTTTGAAGTCCCTGACTCTCCCCACCCTCTGGTGGGTATTTAGCTGAGGATAATATTTAACGTGAGAGCTTCAGCCATTTTGGCAAGTTACTCAGTTTTCCTGGGTTTCTCCCATGTATACATGTAATTAAACTTTTGTTTTTCTCCTGTTAATCTGTCTCATTTCAATTTAATTCTTAGACCAGCCAGAAGAACCTAGAAGGGTAGAGGAAAATTTCTTCTTCCTCTACTACACTTACACAAACCTAGACGGCATAGCCCACTGCACACCTAGGCCATATGGCACTGATCTCGTGGGACCGCCATTGCATATGCAGTTCATCACTGCCCAAAGCGCCGTCAGGTGTCACAGCACTGTACTGAACCTTTCCAACTATGTGCACATACCACTCAAGAGGAACAACCAGCTTTCAAAAGAGAAAAAAACTGCCAAAACAATCATGTTATGTACCTTATTTATAGACTACATGTTGCCTGAACTTGCTAACAAAGTAAATCAATGGGAAAAGTTGGCTGTCCACAACATTATCAACTTGCTCACTTCACAAGCTATTTCTTGTAACTAAAAACATCAAGCAAGCCTCCATTCTTCATCACTATGGTTTTTACAAACTTTTTGGCAGCACTATGTTACCTGCTCACATGTTTAGCAAGGTTCTGCTTAAGAGTAAACATAAAATGTTCATCTTCTAGTACAGGCTCAATCAGAATGAGATCAACTAGGAAAATTTTTTGCCAAAAACAAATTTTAATTTGGTCTGTGGGTGCCAAATGGACAGAGGTCATTTATACAGTGCTGCCTAGATAAGAGACATTAAGTGCTAGTCTGCTAAAAGGATAGCCCTAAAAGATGCAGTTATCTTTTGTGTACTTGGCAGCATCAACTCCTGTACTACCCTCAAATCTAGCTGTTCAGCTGGCCTAAGCCTGTGACTTTTCCAGATAGATGACAAAGCAACTGTGGTAAAATAAACAAGACCTAAACAAATCTATATTTCACTGATGTTTACTATTTTACCAAGTAGGCATGAAACAAGTACTGCTGTGATATTAAGAAGCTTGATTACTTTTACCAGTTTTCACTATGTAAAATGGCACATATGAACTGACAAAATTAAGATTTTAAATAGAGCAATATTCCAAAAACTTATCACAGCAACTTATTAAAAGCCCAAGCACAATTTCCGATCTCATACAATGAAGATGATAGAATTTCAACTCCAAACGTATCAGATATGTGGGGCCATACTTGCCACTTGATATATGAAGGATATAGAGCATTTGCCTTCAAGCAAGTAAATGAATATAAGAAATTTATATAAATTTTACCATGAAGTCTAATTACATGAAATCACCCATTGACAAAAAGAAGCAGAGTAAAATGAACACTGTTAATGGCCAAGTGCCATCGCTACATCTTCAAAAGGCTTTATGCCAAATATGATGTGTAGGTTGGTAGTTAGATTCAGACCCATACCTGTGCTCTTGTGGGTATACACACATATTCATATTTACATATGTGAATATAACTACATAACAATGCTGTTGTGATTTCTGAAATTTACCCCCAAAATAGAAGCTAATGTATTAAAAGCTCATCCAAAGAAAAGGTTCCACTTCAAATAAGACACAGGGATGAATAAAGAAGCAACAAGACACCAAGAGAAACTCATCCTTTTATGAATAAGTGGTCACTTTCAAAGATGATAAAGTAGAATGTCAAGAACTCATAACTTAATTTGCTGCATTTAATATAAACTCTATTACAACAGTACAAACTCTATTTGCCAAAAAATATCATAACAGTAACAATAAGTGTTTGATTCAAACATCTACAGTCATTTTAACAAATAAAACACCGAGGTTGTACTCTTGGACTTCAACTAACTGGATTATTGTGCAGTGCTACTCAAATGAACAGGGTATGCTGAGAAGAGTTCACTACAACTCCAAAATATTTATGACAGATTACCTTATTTCTCAGGTATGAAGGATTCTGATTCATTCATTTGCCTTTTATGGAGCTTTTGTAGTGTGGGGGTCAAATGGTCCCTGCAAGTTCAAAAGTCACTCCTTTGCAAAAAAAAGTCACCTAAACGTTATGTCTTTAAATTCTTTGTCAAAAGTGATGGACCATTTGCCCTAAGTAGTTTTAGAGGAAGATAAAGTGAGGGTGAGTCCCAGATTCTTCTTCAGACGTTCTCAGGTTAAAGATGATCAAAAATCAATGTCATTAATATCCTTATGAATAATACATAATTAAATTAGGGGTGAAAAGACATATTCCTTGAGATTTTGCTTTAAAATACTACATAATAAAGAAACGTAAAGCTAGACAGACATATATGAAGTATGGCAAATTATTGATGACTACTGAATTAAAAAGAAGGGTTTATGAGGTTCACCATCTATTCTTTATTCTTGTACATGTTTACAAATTTTCAAATTAAAGTTAAAAGCAATGTTTTGTTGGTCACTTGAGAATTTATTAACAAACATGCAGATAAAATCTCAAAGATGTCACAACTTTAGAAAAATAAAATACACTAAAAACAAACAGGCCAACATACTACACAGTGGTTATATTTGGAACGTGGGAACCTGAGAGATTTCTTCACTCTTGTATTCCACTTTTCATTACCCCATCTCCCTCACTCCCAAAAGTTGATTTTATATTGGTGGGGGGAGAACACACATATATATATTATATATATTAAACATTGTTAACATTAAAATAAAAGAAGGTGATTTCAGGATTAAAATGGAACATTAAGTCCTTTAAAAGAAATGCTAAGGGTAAAGGACTCACCTGCTCTTCTCTTTTCTGCTTGCGTAACTGCAGTCCTTCTTCCTCTCTCCTTCTGCGCATCTCATCAGGATTCAAGGACTTATTTTTGTAACTTTTCAGGCGAAAGTTCTCTTTTCCTGGGGTACTCATGATTTCTACAAAAATAAAAGGTGGGGAGGTAACAGATAAGCCTGGCTGACTGTAAAGGGCTCTGTTATTCTAATAGCTCAGCCTTTTAAATATGTATATGCCCAGACCTACCCCACAGGGACACCAGAAATGGTGACTTTTTTTAATAGCTTTATTAAAGTGTTCAAAAAAAACAATTCAATGGTTTTTAGCATATTCGCCGCTATGTGCAACCATCAGCACAGTCAATTTTTTAACATTTTCATCACCTTGTCAAAAAGAAACCCTGTGCCATTTAGCTATCACTCCAATTCCGGATATTTCATATGAATAGAATCATTATGTGTGATCTTTTGTGCCTAGCTTCTTCCACTTGGTGTAATACAGGTTTCCCTCGCTATCCAAAAGTTCGCTTTACACCACTTAGCTTTTACGAAAACTTAAAAGTACTACCTGTTTTCGCTAACCGCGAGAAAGCCAAAAAGGATTTTCGCTTTTATGAAACAATGAGAAAAGCAAAAATAGCATTCAGTGTTTATTCTGCAGTGAGCCGTTACACAGAGTCAAGCGTACTGTCATATTTGAAGCCTTCCACATCAGCCACAGCAGATGATGAACCTCAACCTTTGACATCGAGGCAGGCAACACAGAAGGTGTAGCTGTTAGGGACATGCCTGCCCTGATGGGTTCAGACGACAATGAGATCTTAATAGATGACCCTCCTCCTTTCTCTCCTACACCCCAGTCTCCTATATCTCCCACAACTCGGCCTAACACACCATCATCACCACCACCACCTCAGCCCAGTGTGCTGTCTTCCTGATCCCGGTAAGTGAAACTACACTGTACATAAACCATTTCTACTTCACATAGGCTGTGTATTTATCATATCATTCCTCCTTTTACTATATGCTAGTGTTATTTTAGGTTTTATGTGTTATTTGGTATAGTTAAGGTTATTTTTTGGGTATAGAAATGCTCAAAAGTTTTTCCCAGATGTCAGCATCCTGGCGCAGTGAGTTCTGTTTGTTTCTCTTCTCTAAGTTAAAACTAAACGGACATCCATTAAGCAACAGAGGATTCCCTACCCAACACCACAGGATGCCTGAGAGATCCACTCAGCTATACATCTGAAGGTGGGTCGAGTGGATCCCCAGGAAGCAGTGGAACCAAATGAGTGGACCCCTACCCCTCACCGTCCCTGGCGGCAGTGATCCAGACCAAGGATCCTCACAAAGTGGCCAACACAACTGTGAGTAGAGGCAAGAGCAGGCAGACCTGCACACCAACACTTTCAGAGTGGTAGCCCAGCCCACAGGAGCATCCACCTACTGAGGTGGCCCCACCTACACAAACACTCCCCACTGAGTGGTGGCGGCTCAGGGGCACATATGTATGGTGACAGATTAGCTAGACTACCAGGGGTGAGCATGATGCAGTCTATACAGAATGTGATATATAATAATGCACACTCAAAATTATACAACGTTACAAACCAATATGACCTCAATAAAATAATTAAATTTAAAAAAGATTTTTCCCATAGAAATTAATGGTAACTGCTTTTTTGCTTTATATCATTTCGGCTTATTAAAAGTTTCATACGGGGCCAGCCCAGTAGCACAGCAGTTAAGGTCACACATTCTCCTTTGGCAGCCCAGAGTTCACCGGTTTGGATCCCAGGTGTGGACCTACGCACCGCTTGTCAAGTCATGCTGTGGCATGTATCCCAAATAAAATGGAGGAAGATGGGCACAAATGTTAGCTCAGGGCCAGTCTTCCTCAGCAAAAAGAGGACGCTTGGCAGCAGTTAGCTCAGGGCTAATCTTCCTCAAAAGAAAAAAAGTTTCACAGGACTCCTCTACTTTCAGATAGCAAGAGAAACCTGTATCCATGTTGCAGCATATATCAGTACTTTATCCCTTTTTATGGCTGAATAATATTCCCTGGTACGGATATACCTCATATTTATCCACTCATCAGCAGATGGACCTTTGGGTTCTTTCCACTTTTTTGGCTATTATAAATAATGCTTCTATAAACATTTGTGAACAAGTTTTTGTGCAGACATACGTTTTCATCTCTTTTGGGTGTAGATCTAGGAGTGGGTCACATGGTAACTCTGTTTAATCATTTGAGAAACTGCCAAACTATTTTTCTAAAGTGGCTGCATCATTTTACATTCCCACCAGCAGTGTAAAAGGGTTGCCAATTCCTCCACATCCTTGCCAACACCTGACATCACAACTTTTCTGTTCTAGTCCTCCTAGTGTGCTAGATGTCTTTTCACCTATTTATTTGCCAACTGTTTATCCTCCGTAAAAAAATGTCTATTCAAATTCTTTGCCCATTTTTAAATTGCGTTGTCTTTTTAAGATTGAGTTGTAAGACTTCTTTATACATTCTAAACAGAAGTCCTTATCAGATATATGATTTGTTAATATTTTCTTCCATTCTAAAGGTTGTCTTTTCATTTCCTTGATCGTGTCCTTTGAAGTACAAAGTTTTTAATTTTAATGAAGTCCAGATTAATCTATTTTTTCTTTTGTTGCTCATGCTTTTAGTGTCGTACTTTTAGGGATTCTTAACCCTAAGTTTCCTTCTAAGAGTTTTAAAGTTTTAACTCTTACATTTAAGTCTGTCACCCATTTTGAGTTAATTTTTTGTATACAGTATGAGGTAAGGGTCCAACTTCATTCCTTCGCATCTAGCTATCCATTCATATGGTGAAAAAACTTATTCTTTCTCCATTGAATGGTCTTGAAACCCTTGATGAAAATCAGTTGACCATACATAATTTTATTTCCTGCTTATCAATTCTATTCCATTGATCTGTATGTGTATCCTTGTGCCAATGTCACACAATCTTACCTTTTTTTTTTTTTTTTTTTAAAGATTTTCTTTTTCCTTTTTCTCCCAAAGCCCCCTGGTACACAGTTGTGGATCTTTAGTTGTGGGTCCTTCTAGTTGTGGCATGTGGGATGCCGCCCCAGCATGGCTTGACGAGCAGTGCCATGTCCGCGCCCAGGATTCCAACTGGTGAAATCCTGGGCCGCTGAAGCAGAGCACGCAACATTAACCACTCGGCCATGGGGCCGGCCCCTTGATTACCATTTTTGTAGTAAGTTTTGAAATCAGGAAGTGTGAGTACTCCCATTTTATTCTTTTTTCAAGATTGTTTTAGCTCTTCTGGATACTTTGCAATTCCATATGAATTTTAGAATCAGTTTGTGAATTTCTACAAGTAGTCAGCTGGGATTCTGATATGGACTGCATTGAATCTGTAGATCAATCTGGGAGTAATGCCATCTTAACAATGTTAAATCTTCTAATCCATGAAGACAGGAGGCTTTTCTATTTACTTACACGTTCTTTAATTTCTTTCAACAGTGTTTAGTAGTTTTCAGAGTGCCTTACACTTCTTTTGCTAAATTTATTCCTATTTTAATCTTTTTGATGTTATTATAAACGGAATTTTCTTAATTTCACTTTCAGACTGTTCATGACAAGTCTATAGAAATACGACATTTTTGTATACTGATTTTGTGTCCTGCAACTTTGCTGATCTTGCTTATTAGTGCTAATTTTTTTTAGTGGATTCTTCAGGATTTTCTATATACAAGATCATGTCACCTGTCAGAGATAGTTTTTGCCTCTTTCTTTCCAATCTTGATGCCTTTTCTTTTTCTTGCATAATTTCCATGCCTACAACCTCCAATACAATGTCAAATAGAAGTGGAGAGAGCAGATAGTATTGCCTTATTCTTGATTGTAGGGGAAAGCAGGCAGTCTTTCACCATTAAGTAGAACGTTACCTTTGGATTTTTCATAGATGTCCTTTATCATGTTAAGAAGTTCCTTTCTACTCCCAGTTTTTTTAGTGTTTTTATCACTAAACGGTGTTGGATTTTGTCAAATGTTTTTTCTGCATCTATTGCAAGGACAATGTGACTTTTGTTTTTTATTTTACTGATTATTACATTAATTGGTTTGTGAACTTTACACCACCCTTGCATTTCTGAAATAAATGACACTTAGTGTATAAATCTTTATATATGCTGTTGAAGTTGCTCTGCTAGTACTTTGCTGAGGATTCTTGTGTTCATATTCACAAGAGATATTGGTCTGTAGTCTTCTTGTGGTATCTTTGGCATCAGGGTAATACTTGCTTCATAAAATAAGTTGGGAAGTGTTGCTCCTCTCAAGTTTTTTGAGGAGTTTGTGAAGAATTAGTATTAATTCTTCTTTAAATGCTTGGTAGAATTTAGCAGTGAAGCCATATGCGCCTGGGCTTTTCTTCCTGGGTAGTTTTATGATTAACTCAATCGCTTCACTTGTTAGAGGTCTATTCAGATTGTTTCTTCTTAAGTCAGTTTCAGTAGTTCCAGTCTTTTCTAAAAACTGATCCATTTTTTCTAAGCTATGTAATTTACTGGCATACAGTTGTTTACAGTATTTCTTTATAGTCCTTTTAATTTTTGTAAGGTCAGTAATACTGTTCCCTCTTTCATTTCTGATTCTAGTAATTTGAGTCTTCTTTCTTCCTAGGTCAATCTAGCTAAAGATTTACCAGTTTTGTTGATCTTTTCAAAGAACCAGTTTTTGGTTTCCTTAATTTTCTCATATTGTTTTTCTATTCTCTAGTTCATCAATTTCTAAACTAATCTTTATTTCCTTCCTTCTTGCTCTAGGTTCACTTAGCTCTTTTTTATCCAGTGACTTAAGGCAGAAGGTTAGGTTACTGATTTGAGATCTTTCTTCTTTCTTAACAAAGGCATTTATTGCTAGAAGTTTCCTTCTAAGTACTGCTTTAGTTATATCCCATAAATTTTCTGAGGTGGTAACTTCGTTTTCGTTTATCTCAAAGTATTTTCTGATTTCCCTTTTAATTTCTTCTTTGACCCACCAGTTATTTATGAGTATGTTCTTTAATTTCCACATATTTGTGAGTTCCCCAAATTTCTTTCCATTGTTGATTTCTAATGTTTTTCCTTGGTGGTCAGGGAATATCCTTTGTATTATTTCA